CTATCACAGCCAGTGTCAGAGTAAGGGAGAAAATATTATTAAATATAATAATCGCCATTTTCAATTAACCAAGACTTTGCAGAGGAAGAAAGCAGCTTAGAATTGCTAGGTCTGCTGAAGAAAAGCACAGCTCATGGTTACAAAAATATATAAATTTTTATATATAAATATAAAAATTGTACGATATGGCTGGAGAAGTCCAGGTATTAAAACTAAGAGTCATGCATTAAAATTATGAAAAGGAATTAAAGATTTGTCTGTATTCCATGCTCTTTTGTGTCAAAATAACTACACACAGCAGTAGGCAAGCAGAGGCTCTCCCTGACAGAGGGAGACGGTGCAGCCCAGGTTCCTCCATCCCCCTCTTCTGCAAACCAGGCAGGTGTTTTGGGCATCCAAGAAATCCCAGAGTTCAGCTCACAGGCTGCAAAAAATTGGATGGGATGTCTGCAAGGCAAAGCAGTCACACACCAACGCCTCTGCTGCCTCATGAAGATGCTGACGAGTTAAGAGAAAGGGGCTGAAGCCGTGGCAGGATGAAGTGGGGGTGCCCTTTTTGGAGCCAGATCCAGGTCACTCCCGAGGCCCTGAAACCTTGGGTTTAAAGAAATCCTGCTTTTTTGAAAAGTTGCACTGTGATCTGCTCTCCAGTGGGGCCCATTTTATGAATTTCTATTCAGGTAGAAAATGGAGCAATAAAAGAATTCCAAAACTTCCATTAAAGTTCACTGCCACGTGCATAATTCAGCACCCGGCTGGCAGCGTGTGCACGTGGCTGTGGTGGATGTGATGGTGCTGGCATGCCCTGCGGGGCAGACCTCCCACCCTGGGCTTCCCTCATGGTGGGTTAAAAGTACCCCAAAACTGGCCCCAAAGTACCGAGATGCTGGAAGACCTGTGCCCATGATCAGGACCTGTGTGATGATCAGGATCTTCCTGATCTCCTGTGTTTATTTTTGCTTCCCAAATTTCTGTGTTTCAAGCCAGGGTCCCCGTGCAGTGCTGTGATGGTTTCCTGTTGTGCTTCTTGTGACAGAGCCCAGGCAGGGCCAGGTGGGATACGCGCCCTTCTCCCAGAGCTTTCCATGAGGGACCAAAAACCCCAGCCAGCAGCAGTGCCCAGCAGCCAGGGGTTTAGCAAGGAGGCTGCAAGGGACAGGCTCATTGCAGGAGCCCTGCAGGGACCATGGGCACTGAACACCCACAGCACTGGTCAGCATGTCCTCGGGAGAGTGGTCGCTGTCTGTGGCAAATTATTCAGGAACTCCGTGTTCGTTTTCTGAGTAACTGCATAAGCACCGGTGCAATGCTCAGCATATATTTAAATATATATATTTTAAAATCATTTCTTCCTCAAAAGATTCTGATCAAAAACTTGAATTAAAATCTCTTGAAACTTCACTTAAAACCTCTGGAACCATACTGTAAATAATATTTTGCTACTGATACAATACACATCCATTTCCCCTTATTTTTCTTTTTATTAACTTTGTTTCCACATTTAGACAGAGTAACTGCTTTCTAATTTCCCATACAAAACGTTTAAGAAGCATCTTCCTCCCTCTATTAATGCTTACAGCTGCCTTTATGCACAAAATAAGGTGGCTTTGCACAGACACCATTGCATCCTCAGCACTGCGAGAGCCAAGTGAGCAGCCTTGGCAGAGAGGGTGCCAGCTCTTGACCACGGGCATCCCCTTCCAGCATCACACCCGGGCACTTGACAGCCACCACGGTGCAAGATTTGCCAGGTAGCCCGTGGCCACCAGCCGATTGCCTCCATCACTAAGTCACCATCAACCTCCTGCACAGCAGCAAAACAACAGCACCAAGCACAGATGGATGGGCAGGGGGGCAAAGCTGGAGTCCCTGTGGTCCCATGTTGTTGGCACGGCCCAGATGCCCCTCGTGCACATCACCAAGCGACCCGTGGCAGCTCTGCTGTCCCCAAAGCCAGGGCACCGTGTGCTGCACCCCGTGGTGGCAGCGTAGCAGCTCTGCCCATGGGCAGGAGGGGGCTTTGGCCACCCGGCGGGACCATTCCCATCCATCAGGTGTGCTGCTGGGCTTCTCTTCATGAGGTATCCTTCATTTTCCTTCCCCTCAACAGGGGAGGCATTCCTACATTATTCATAGATAACCTTTCTTGTCCATGATCTAGGGCAGACATGGTGAAAAACTTGGCTTTAAAAATTTATTTTCTTTGGGAAGAAATAGCGAATGAATATGAAAAGAAATCTCTTGCATTAGCTGCTCCGTGTTCCCAGCCCCTGTCACAGGGGACACACATTGCACGTGTCCAAGCTGAGGGGGACAGGGATGTGGCCGAGGGGGGCTCACCATTTCTCTTCTCCTCCTTCAGAGGATCTCGTCTTTTTATAGAGCAAAATAATGCAGTCAGTACATTCCTAAGGGGGCAATTCCAACAGCTCAGACGTGCCTGTCTCCCAGTTTCATGCCCCCCATGAGCACCTCTGGAAGAGCCCTGGAGCTCTTCTCCCCCCTCAGCTGTGCACCCTCTGGCCGTGGGGTGGTCAGGGTGGGTTGGCTCCCACAGCAGAGCCCCCAGAGGAGACACCGGAGCTGCACAGAGAGAGGAGCCGCCAGGAGACCCCCTCCCAGCCCGAGGTTTCCTTGGGGATGCTCTGGAGACCTTGGGGCCGGAGGTGGTGCTGGCAGCCGCTGGGAATCAAAGGGAGGAGGGCTCCTTGACACACGGTGCTTTGCTCCTGGGCCTCCGGCTGGTTTTGAGAACAGACCCACAGGGATCACACGCACTTTATGCTTTTAAAGGTGTGCAAGATCCTACTCTAAGGACTTTTTGAAGACCTGTGTGCTGTGAGGGTGAGCAGCAAGGTTTTGGCTAGAACTAGGCCATGCCTCCCAAGGCGAGCAGAACAGGATGCACTGATCCTGCCCCCACCACATCACAGCAGTGTCCCCATGTGCCTGCAGGAGGAAGGCCAAGAGCCTCCAGAAGAGCCTCAGCAGGGCTAGGCAGCAGGAGCAGGGTGGTTACTGTGTCACCTAAAGCACTCTGTGACAATTAAATGAGCTGGGTGGCACCAGCCAGCAAGGCGCTTTGTGGCACCAAGTCTCACTTTTCCCTCTAGCCCTGCTTTCAGGACTTAATCTGCTGCTTCCATCCTCTGACAGACAAACAGAGGCTTCACTTTTGTGACGAAGCGCGGGGTAAACCCAAAGCAGGCAGCAGGGCCGTGCGTGCAGAGCTCTCTGGAGATGGGTGGCCAGAAGCAGGACACCAGGCACAAACTCCAGCCCTGCAGGCACCCAGGCCCTTTTCTCCTCCCCTTCTTCCACCAGGGAGCATCTTTTAGTGGCCTGTCAAGGGTGTTGCCACGCTTGCCACAAGCTTCGTGGCAGCGGTGAATTAACCAAGCACCTTCTAAAGCTCAGGCTCGGGAGCCACAAGCCGGCTTTGCTGTGAGCACAAAGCTCTGCCCAGCCAGGGCTCCCTCAGTGAGGAGCTTCTTGCTTCTTGCTCAAGCTCTGTGACACCAAGTCCCCCTCGCCCCAGCCATATGGGATTTTGTGGGCTCCATGGAGTTATCACCAGTCTGGACAGCCGCCCCCAGACTGGCCCCGGCCCTGGCAGCCTGTTTGTGGGATCACCACGGAGCCACTGCTGTGTCTGACACTGCGGGGCCTGGGGCAGAGCGAGTACAGGAACATCAGTGTGTGAAAAATACCACGAGAAATAAAGCCAGTGTGAAACTACCGGCAAAACCCGAGATTGTGCTGGACTGTATTTATGGCATTTAATATCTACCGTATTTAATGCTGCAAAATAACCACGTTGTCAGCAGCGTAGCAGCAGCGGGGAAGTGGCAGCCGTGAGGGCAGCAAAGGCGAGCACGAAGGGCTCAGGCAGAAGCACCGAGGTGCCCAGTATCACCCCAAATAAGCTGCTGGTGGGCTGCAGGACTGCGTGCCTGGCTGTGCCACAGGGGCAGAGCCACACAGGGTCCTGTGGCAGAGGGGTGCACGCAGCACAGCTGGTGCCAGATCGGGTATTTCACAGCCCCAGGACCTCAGGCAGGAGCTGCCACCCCTCCTGTCCTTGCAGAGCACGCGGGATGTAAGCACGCCAGTGACTGAGAAATGCAAAGTACTGCCCGAGGAACAGGAGAGCAGCGCTGGAGCAGTGCTTCACTCTGGACCCACTTCCCTGCACATGCAGCAGTTACTCTGCTCTCCGCTGAGGCAGCCCGGGGGCTTTTTCACCCACTCGATCACGGCAAGTTTTCCAAGGCATCTTGCATAATCTTTTTTATCTTTTTTTTTTTTTTTTTTTTTTTTTTTTTTTTTTTTTTTCCCAGGCTGGGCTTGCACCAGCTTTTTTATCTCTGAACAAGAAAGGAAGGTCTTGAAAATACCCTGCTTAGACAGATCTCAATCTGTTTGCTCCTGGCTTTGCTTTAGAGCCTCTGGGGAATCAGATGCTTTTGCAAGCTCTACATCATTAATTGAAAAGTAAAACAAATGGAGCGGGACTGCAGAAGGAGCAGGTGCAGCTCCCACCCTCCCACCTCCATGCTCTGGGCACCAGCATTGCTGCCACAACGTTACCTGGCTTTCTGGGGACCCGCAGCTCCCCACAGCTCCCAAAATGCTGGAAAACCCCTGACACAACCAGACAACCCCAAGACACAGCCCCAAAAACTTGAATCGCTTTCTGCCCCTTATGCCCCAGGCACAAGGGCTGGCGCAGCGCAGCATCACAGCACAGCATCTGCCCGTCCGACCCCTTCCAGCTCCCCTCCTGCCTTGCTGGCCCCTTTGGGATAATTTGGGGGTGAGAGGAAGGACCTAGCCCCTAACACCATGCTCTGCACCCACGGTGCCGAAGCAGGGCGAGGAGCCGCTCACTTGCCCCGGGGGTCACATCCCCAGCCCCTCACACACCCCACCAAGAGCCATGGCACAACGAGGTCTCCCCAAACCCCCTGCGCCCATCGAGGAACCCGGCGCTGGCTTACCGTGGGCAGAAGGCTCATCCCTTCCCTGCCGGCATCAGCCCTGTCCACACCTCGCTCAGGCAGCTCCTTGGTGTCGGTGCTGGGCAGCCGAGGGTCCCAGGGGCAGTGCAGGGTGAGAGCAGCCTGGAACGGTTCGCGGGACGCACGGCGATGCGGGGAGCGCTGCGAAAGCTGGTGCCGTGTCTCCTGCCCTCCGCCGGGAGTGCGTGACAGATCTTAACATGAGCCAGCGAACAGAAATAAGCAGCCGACAACACCCCCGAGATCTCCAGTCTCTGTTAATTACCGTTATAAAGGTAAAACCGAGTAGACACCGAGCTCATGCTTGATTTAAACATAACATTAAAAAGTGAAGAACAAAGGAAAATGCTGTCTTGGTTTCCTGCGTTTGGCCGTTTATTTGCAGCTTTAATGCGTTCCTCTGATTGCTTTGTCTCCGTGCCAGTGGCGTCCCGGTCCTGCTCCCCCCACTCTGTGTGGTGGGGTTTGCCGTACGGATGGACCACGGGGCTCCCGGCAGCGCTTTGACCCCTCTGGGGCCGGGGGCTGCTCACTCGGGCTCGCCTCGGGGCACCCCACGGGGACGCAGCCGGGTGCCGGGGGCTGCAGCCCGGGGTGCGTGGGTGCTGCGGGGAGCGCGGTAGCCATGGGAACACGGGGTTTTAAAGGCTGGATGCTTCGTGCTTCATCACGAATTGCACTTCCCGCACTCAAGCGGCTCGTGATGCTCTCGGCAAAACGTCGGGCAGGACGAGCTGTACCCCTGTGTGGTGGGACGGATGCACAGGCACAGCGGGATGGACAGGGGGGTGCAGAGGGATGTGGAGCCCAGATCCTGTGCCTATCGCTCTTGGTGGTCCCTGCTCCCATCACACCCACTGCTGAGCATCGTCACCAGCTCCTGGCATCCCGCTGCCCCCTCACCCCCAGTGTCACAGCGGGACCGTGGAGCTGGGACCACTCACAGGGCAACGCTGGTCTGTGAAATCCCCTGGAGGTGCTGAGGGAAGGAAGATTTCTTCACCCCTACCTACACTTAGCTGCAAGTGAAAAGCATTAAGTGCCCCCAACTGAGGCTTAATTTGTTATTTTTATGAGCGAGCTTGGTGCATTTCCCCCTGCGACTCCCACCAGCTGGTGGATGCTCATGCTCAAGATTGAGAGCGTGGAATTCAGAGCTGCGGAGCAGGCAATGCCACAAAAATACAGCTGCTCTTCACCCTGGCGCTGCTGAAAAACGAGAGACGTGAGCTCAGATGCAAGATGTAGCAAATGCATTCCTTGGAAACATCCTGGCCAGAGGGACAAGGAAACTTGCTGCCTACCAGGCTGCCGCCTTGGGAAGCAGTGAGGATGTGATTGCGTTTGAACCCCCTTCTTCTGGCTTTCCCTCAGCCTCCCTCATTTCAGGCAGTCTGCTGACCGAGCGGTTGCGTTCCCATTCCCACACCCACTGCATTCCCATCCCCACAACAGCCTCACACGAGTGACTTTGTCCCGACCCCTGGTGAAGTTTGGGGTCAGTCCTACAAAGCACGACCTGCCACCGTGTTAGTGCACGCCTGGTGTGCACGGTAACTGGCTCGTCTCCCTCTTCTAATTGTCATTGTTTCCTGACTGTAAATCTAAAATCTCTACCTGCTGTACAGAACTGATACACCAGTAATCGTTTTGGAGTTGAATCCAGCTATAAATCATTATTAATTATTCATTTGGTGGTTGCACACTTAAACAAAATAATGGCCCGGGAAAGCCTGAGTCATGGCGTTGTATTTACAGAGCATGATCTGCCGATTAATTGGAAGCCGTTTCCAGTGCAGAAAAGCAGGGATTGTATCACATTAAATTTTGATGGGGAGAAATTCCACAGATTTAACATTAATATTAAGCTCGCTGCGAATAAACATTTCGTTAAAACAAAACTTAATTTTTCATGTTAGCACATTTCTTTACTTTTCTGCCACTCTACTATAAAAAAACAAACAAACAAAAAAAAAACACACAGAAACCCATTCATCAGTGAATAGCACACAGGAGCTGAAAATCCAGCCCTGGCCCCAATGTCAGGGCCCTGCCTGTAGCTGCTCATGTTGCCCGGTTCGGTGCTCAGCTCCTGACCTGCTCCTGTGCCTGCGGGACCACCCCGTGCCCTCCAGGAGCACCCCGTGCCCTGTAGGATGCCCAGGACACATCCACTCAGGCCCATAATGGCACGTTCAGGCACAAGAGGTCAGGGAAAAGAAATGTTCCTGCTGGAACACTTACTTTGGACATGTATTCCCCGTTTTACAATTGCAAAGCTTCAGCCTTGTGTTTTCGCCTCCAGTTTCTGTATAAATACAGAAGGTATTTTCTTCCATTTTTTTTTTTTTTTGGCTTAATTTAACTTTTATTGGACTGAGCAGGAAGCTAGCCTCGTTCCATCTAATAGGAAATGTAGATCATGAAATGAGTTCCAAGGGGTTTTCCAGATAGAGCGAGGAAACAAAAGTCATAAAAACACTCCAGTTATGAGGTTTCCCCAGTCTTAAAAGTAAATCCTGTCAAATATATTTAGTGTTAAAAAAAAAAAAAAAAAAAGGAGGAAAAAAATCAGACTACATCACTAAGAATTACCTGCAGGAGAGGGGCCGGAGGGAGAGGTTTGGTGTTTCAGCAGCAGCCGCATCCCCGCCACTGGGGAGCATGACTCGGATTTCACGCCATGGGCAGGGGAACCCAGGGGAGCAGGAGGAAGGAGTGATTCAGAAATGCTTTTGCAGGCACAGCACAGCAGGTTTTCATTCAGCAGACACCCTCATGCCCAGTGAGCCTCCCCGGCACCAGTTATTGCCCCGAGATCTACCCAGAAATACAGCGCCTTTTCTCGGCTCCTGTTCCAAAACAACCCCTTCCAGCGCACACCCGAAATCTGGCTGTTGCAGCCAATGCCGTGGGTGTAGGGAGAGCCTGCCAGGCGCTGTGAGCACTGCACAGGCCCAGAGCAACCTATTCCCTGAAAAAACAGATAACTGCCTTGCTCAGGGTTCTGCACTTCAGCTGATCTTAGACTACTTTAACCAAATTTTCTTATGCTCCTGGCATGGGGAAGAGCAGGGGCTCAGCAGGGTGTTGGGGTGACACATCTCAAATCCAACTCTGGCTCCTGGCACCCGCTGCAGCAAACCAGGATGAAGTACTCCTTAGTACTCGGGTTTTCCTGTGCTGAGTATTTTCCCTTTGTTCCCCTCCTTCCCCCCTCTCATTTATCACTTCTGGTCCACCTTCACCTGCAGCAGTTCCAGATTAGCTCTCAGCATCCCCTGCAGCCTCTTGCGCTCCTCTTTATTGCTTAATTATTCGGGGACGTTTAATGGTGATAGCTCTCGCCGCTAATTTTCCTGTTATTATGCAGAACATCATCTGCGAAATGCCACGGGAGCAGGCTGGACTCCGATCACATCTCCGAGGTGTGCTGGACTCTGATCACATCTCCGAGGTGTGCTCCTGGCCACACGGACACTTGGCAAAGAGCTCAGGGCACGCACCCCGCAGCCCAGCACCGTGCGCAGCCCAAAGAGCTCATGGGCAGGTTACCAAACATCTTAAAAATCCTTTGGGAGAGAGAGCACCATTAGAAGGCAAGCTTTAATTTATTATAGCACCACGCCGTGTGTTTTACCAACTGCTTTTCTCTTGCCACTGAAATGCCTCGCTGGAGCAGGCCTTGTTTTGCAGTCGCACACAGCTGCCTCTCACGCCAAGGATAAATATGGTGCTAAATGGGATGCTCTGACCTACATTTTATGTATATTATGTCTCTGATGCTGATAATGAGCAGAGGAACCTTGATATATTATCACTTACTAGGCAGCATTTTTCCGTGCTTCCATCCTTAGGATGTTATATGTCATTTCTAAAACAAGATGCATTTTCTTTAATTTATGTGAAATACAGAACGTTCTGCAAACATTGCCATTTAAAAAACTACCAAGGAGCATTCTTTGGTGAGAACGATTCTCGTTTTTCATTTGAAAGCGCTCATGAATTTGCAGACAAAAATGCAAATTACAAGAAGAGCAGCAGCAGCCACCTCACCGCTCTTTGTGCCTGGCCCACCCTGGGCAGCCCCAGGGCCGAGGGGGACGAGTTACTGCAGTAATTAGGAAAAGAAATGGAAGACCCATGAATGGAAGACCTTGGTGGGCACAGAAGACCTGCGGGGGGGATTTAAAATCCACCCTGTCGCTGAAACACCAGCTACACCAAACCAAAGGAGCAGTCTACACTCCTCAGAGGTAAGGATTCCCCAATCCACTGCAGGCCAGCACTCCAGCCCCTTCCGATCCAAAACCACAGCACCATGAGGAGCCCCAGCACGTGAATTAGCTGATATCTGGCCAGCCTCCTCCTCTCTCTTCTTCGCTCCAGCCTCGGTGAGGGAGCAGGGGAACATTCTCCATGGGTGAAGCTGTATTCACACGCTGGGATTATGAGATCTTTTTCCCAGAAGATGGGTTATCAGAGCTCCGGTGTTCTCCCCACCACACCTATGCCTACTCACAGGAATGTTAATTAACGTGCTGGGTTACACAGAACGAGCACGCTGAAAGCAGTGCATTTCAGAACAGCATCCTGGCAATTACATTTATTTCCCCAACAAAGGGAGAAGAGAAAAATGCTTCAAGGAGTGGGGGTTGAGCAGACGTAGGTGATTCACAGCAGCAGAGATCAGAAATCCCTCCCAGAACCCAGGCATTGCCGCTCTCGCCCTCGTCGTCTGCATGGCTTCCAGGGTGAGCAGCCCCACCGCGAGATCTCATACCCATCCCCGCTAAAAATAAAGCCTTTGAGGACCCAGAAGAGGTGTTGCAGCAGAGGGATGCTGCAACATCACCAGGGGAGCTCCCAGCCTTGGCTCCCTTTGCTCCTCGCTTCCCCCACTTTCACCACTGCCTTCCCCTGCCCTTCTGCAACCAAGCTGCTGCCTGAGCAGCAAGATCTTTTCATTACAAGTTTTATCTCTTTCTTTTTTTTTTAATAAAACATTTATTAAAATTTATAAAGTGTAATTATAATTTCTTTAAAGTCTTTTCATTTTTTTTTCTCTAATTATTCATGGCCTGTTTAAATTAACTGATCGTTCCTTTGGGATGCGGTGCACCCCGGATTGAGGACACTGAGCTGTCTCAACAGAATTGGACCCTTTGCTTGTTACCTACCAAGATTTAATAACTGTAGAACAGGTACAAGGATGACATAAAAGCCCCCTCAGAGGGGAGATCCAGGTCCTCGCTGTACAGCAAGGCAGGACCTGCTGCAGGGGAAACCTCAGGTGCTTCAAGTGACCCTGAGGTGGCACAGAAAATAGTTAATGTTTACTAAAATTTCCCAGCTTCTCATCTCGCCCTTTTCTTGAAGGTGTTAAACATCTATGACAAGTATTTCTCCAAGGCTCTCCTCAATTGTGGGTTTAATCCAAGAGCAAGAGATGAAAAGGAGATTTGGGTCAAGCCCTGTAAGTATTATGCTCATTCAATCAGAGCAAAATCAGTGTCGTGACACAGCTCATCTAATTCATCCCTAACCACAGCAGGCAAAGTTCTGTGAAAATTTAGTATCAAAAACCGTATACAATCAATCCATTAAAAGGAAAAAAAAAAAAGAGAGAG